GTACTGACTGAGCTAGGACTGATGATTATGTTTGTATAGGAATCTGGATTAGCAAAGTTTTATTGTATTAGTTCAAATCCCTGTAGCAAATTGACTTTACAGTACCAGTATTTTCGTACTTTATCTGCGTTTCTTTGGGGCAGAATTCCAGTCGATCATAATCTATTCCACATTCTCCAATTGCTACCACTTTATGCTGGCCTTCCTGTGCTAGATCTTGGAGAGACTGAAGGTATGATGTTGGGTATCCTGATTTTTCAAACTTACCACAGCTGTTTGGATGACAGGCCACAGTAATGTATACTTTTTCTAAAATGCACAGTGTTTACAAAATTTAGTCCCAATAAATACTTTAATATCCTGAATGAAGTGAACAGTAGAGAACAATTTTGACTATTAAGTTACTAAATAAATTCATGAGAAAGGCCTTCCTTTGAAAATTGCTCACCTTGAAAAGCTTACAACTGATCAGACAACAAATTCCTGCATTCATGGAAGTCAAAAAGTTCATTACCAGTTCAGTCTACTTCCCACTTTCATACCCTATTTTTCTATTAATTTTTAAATCCTCTCATTCACACCTGCATCTTTCATATGGTCTCTTTCCTGTATGTTCCACCACCAAACTTTTATATGCATTTCTTCCCCCATTTACAGTACATGCCCATCCCATCTACTCTTCCTTGTTTTAATGATCATAATAAATTTATACAGTGAGTAAAAATTATGAGGCTCTTCACCGTATAATCTCTGTCCTCTCAGCATACAAATATTCTCCTTGGCACTTTATTCACACTCACCCATAATCTATGCTCTTCTGTTCAAATGAGAGATCAAGTTCCACACCCATACAAAATAACAGATATAAATTAAAATTTTCTGTTTCTTAATCTTTAAGATTTTATATGAGCAAAAAATTCTGAACTGAAGCATTTCCTAAACTGGCTGCTATTTGATTTTGTCAACTCAGAATATCTATATAAAATTATTTCAGGTATTTTAAAACAGATGCGCAAAACTGCAGTTCTGTTGTCCATTATGTAAACTACTTGGACCTCCATTTGGTGACATAGCTGGCAAAAGTAAATACCACCTGAGGAGGTGGGAACCCCACAGCCCTCAAAGTATTTTGGTATGTGAAAGTAATTTTGGTCCCCATGACTGATATGTTGGGTCTTGCTGTAAATAAGAAAAAAAAGTGTACTAAGGGTGATGTTTGTAATATTAAAAAAATGCATGGTATAGCATACCAATTACCATCACAAACCTCATGTAAAATTACCACTGTGCCCCAGAACCACATCACATGTAAGGCACAGGTATTTCTCCACATACATTAGCCTTAAGATGGAGATGAGTGGCCAGGTTCACATCCCCACTTTATACTAATGGGGAAAGAGCCAACACTGAGTGGGCACTGTCAAGTTGGGTGTGATAAAGAGGAAAACCCTCCCAGGAATCAAACCCCAGCTAAGGCAGTTATTTATTCAATCTCTCTAACTTACATTTCATGCTCAAACTGATGATAATATGATGATGTATATAGGTGTTAAATTTGGTCACTTCATATGAAGAGGGTAGAATGTGGATGTCTGAGAACAAAAAGGACAAGGAAAATATATGGACCCAACAGAGATGAAATAACAAAGGACTTTGGAAAATTATATAATGAGAAGGTACATAGTCTGTACTTTTCACTTAATGGGGTGATAAAATCAAGAAGGGTGAAATGAGAAATGCACACAAAACTTTGTTGGGAAAGAATCGCTTGGGAGACCAAAGCAAAGATTAGAGATATTTAAACAGAATTTGGAGAAAAAAGGGGGGTACATAGTGGACTAGGTTGAACTAGTATGGAATAGGGTCCAGAAGCGCACATTTGTGAACAGTGTTGAACGTTAAGGTTCTATGAGCACAGAATGTCATGGCCAATGGTGATGGAGGCAGTAAACACCTCTGAAATTTGACATTTCTACTAGATTACACAGTGCTACAACCCAGAAGACAACCATCGTCATCTATAAACTAATCAAGGAAACTCTACTATGAAATCAGTTAACTTAATTAGTTATGTAAGTGATGATAACAATCAGAACACTGGGATAAGATGATAATATTTTAACTGAATTATAAACCATGTGAATTTGCAAGCTGAAGAGCTTCTCCGCTTTCTTCCAAACTGGCTCCTGTATGATCATTTTCTGCATGCCAATGTCCCATGCTCTTTGAGGTCAGCTTCATGTTTCTTTGATCCATGATAAATTCCTTTGTACATGGAGTCTGTCAGATTGACACTAGTGTCATTTTTATAGTGTTAATAGTTTGTTTACTTATTTTATATGAATACAACAGTATGGATCAATGTTTATATTCCAAGGATGTGGAAAACATCTTAATATTAATACCAACACTTCGTACAAATATGACTATAGTTGTAGCAACTATTTACTATATATATATATATCATAAGTTTCAATTGAAATAAATTCAAGTGTGCAAGGAGTGGCAAAAATGAGAATCTTTCAATGCTGGCTTAAACACTGAAATTAATGTTACATTAATTTAACTTTTATTGCCAAATGGAAGAGTATTGGTTACATAATCCTAACAAGCACAATCCTCTTAAATCCTTGCAGTGTTGAATATTAATCTAAAATAAATTGGTTGTATGCATGATTTTATATATTTTAGATAAGCACACTTATGATAACAACAGCTCTGCATTTGGCATAAGAATGTCATCTGTGTGCCTTATGTTTATAACTTCTCCATATATTCTCATCGCCTTGATGACGGAGGCAACAAGGACCTCGGAAACGTTGGTAAACGTCTGCCAGACAACGCGGCGCTAAAACCCATAACAATGCCTTCTCCGTATGTTCAAAACGTAAAACAGTGATGCAAGTACGAATTTACTTGCAAAGAGAAGTATAACTTCTTAAATAGTTATTAAAATTATTTTTTTTCGATTCTTAATTTAACCTTGCCACATAAAATACTAACGCTCTATGCTGTCTGTTGGATTTTCACGAAGGCTGTATAACTTTCGGGTGACAGCCGCGTTGAAAGACGAAGGTAAATAATGTACCCAAGCCGCGAAATCGTACGGACAGAAATTCCCCAGAGCGTAATTATATATGACGTGACCATGATCACAGCACGGTGCCGGCTCCCGTAGCCACATCCATTAGTCCAACGCTTGTCGGTTATCTGGTGGCCCTCCTGGGTATTATCAGTCTTTCTTGTATTGTGGTAATATTGTTTTCAAGTGTAACACTGTATTCTTTTTAACCATAGATTGTGGAAGTAGTGTGAAGGAGGATGGATAGCGTCAGCCTATAATGCTTGGGACTTCCTGCACTCGTTGCAAGTCTAAGATCACAGTCGCGTACTATACCCAAGGTTTCTCTTGTTTGTTACAACCGCGTTCCCGCCAATCGAAACGCATTCAGTGTGGCGTTACCCTTGCCTAGGGCTGTGTTGGATTGAAAATAATACAAAAAAGTATTCCTTGCTCATCTTTCATCCAGATCAGCTTGTATGAAGGTACAATAGAATTAGAAATAGAATATAAATATTATCTGTGACTTGTAGACTGTGCACTATAGACGAAAGCAGTCATTTCTAGTCGACGCGATTGCCACAAATCCACAGTTGTACAATGTATTCGTGAATTACAGTGGGAGGATCAGGATAATGTGAATAAATTAATTTGGTTTTCTGTGTGTTGTTCGAAATTGAATAAATTAATTCTACTGTTTCTAAATGTTTGATAGTTTCATTTCAAGTACGACAGACATTCAATGAGAATACTGCTGTAACCTGACTTTTTTGTGATAATCTTAATGCCATTGAATGTATTAATTATAGCATAGGAATGAACAAATTACTGTGTTTATTCTCCTGGATTCCCTTTTTTTTGCGTTTCCTAAGTTTGATAGCAGACGGGCATCGTTATGCAATGCAATGTAAGTACAAGATAGAATTATAACCTTCATGTACCAAACACTAATCTCAGTAAATATCAGCAAGAAGTTTACTGTACTGTAATTAAACTATGCAGAAATCTTCCTCCCATTATAAAAAGTCCAGATTGCAATATAAAGAAGTTTAAGCAAGCAAGCACTAAAAGATTCTCCTATCTCACTCATACTCCATTGAATAATTTACCAAAATTTCTCAGCTATTATAAATATATGTAAGCATTTTCCGTCTATACACAAACTTAAAATAATGTTGTTTAAAATTACTTAAAATTATAACATTCTCAGTAAATACTGCATCTTGTTACATTTTTATTTTCCGTCTATACACAAACTTAAAATAATGTTGTTTAAAATAAAATATTGTATAGTTCAGACTGTTAAATCTTACGGATATGTGTATAAAATCATAAGGGTTAAAGTATAAAAATACTGTTATCTGTCTTGGTTTATATGAATGTGTCTTTGACTCTCACCCTAAGGGAAGAAATTGGATTCAGTGTGTTGACTTGGTCGTATAGGTTATGATGCTGTGTAGTGGTACAGGTGTTTAAAAACGTTCTTGATGACATTTTCACTACTGTGAAAACCTCAAATGTCATATAGTTTCATAGTGTTTGAGAACAAACTCCTGAGGAAAAGATTGGCACATGTCAGATGGTAACAGGAGGGTGGAGCAAATTGCATAATGTAGAACTTTATATTATTCTAATATTTTATTTGGATATTATTCATTGTCTATCACATTATTTTATTCAGTTCATCAAATGTTACTGTGTTGAACATTTCAAGGTCATGTATCACAGATAGGGGAGAATAGAAATGCACAGAATATTATAGTTATAAAATTTGAAAGGAAGAGATAATTAGCAAAACTAGTCACAGCTATGTCCTTTAAGTTGTATTGGGATGGGTGTTGTGAAAGTGAGTGTTGTGGGTTGGCACATAAGTTGTGGCTGTGTTGATTACTTATCTCCCAGACTAATGTTAAGCATGCATCAGGGTAATATAACTGTGAAAAGTGTTATTAGTGGGGTATTTTTGATCAGCAATATCCAGAAAATTAAGACATTACTTTATTTATGAATGTTTGAGATGAAGGTATGTCAGTTTTAATATCATGGACATTATTCTAGAAGGTGGAATATGTTAATGGCTTTTGATACTTATAATTATGTTACTATTTTGTAATGAAGTTAGATTTTCCTGTTCTCTCTAGATGGACAAGTTTTCGGATGATAAGAAGTCATATTGTTCATTCTTACTTTTCCACTTTTGCACGTGCATTAGCAAAGGCTTCAAATAACTGAAATATATCTTTACTGTTTCCATGTTTTGACACGTAAATGTCTGGAGCAAGTGCCTTTGGAGTGTGTGATGTAACTAATCTTATTATTCTTCATTTTGGTTGCCTTGGATCATATTTTCTATCACTTCTCATTGTGATTTTGTAAACTTTTCATCATTCCTTTTCAGGCATGATCTTTCTGATATGTCACATATTTTAATAAATTATGTCTTTTTTTCCCGATCCATTAGACATGTCAGTCTCTGTTGTATTATTAAAGAAGTCTGATAAGTGATGATCTAGGGTCAAGTTATTGAAGTTGCAGTATGTCTGAATGAAGGGTGAATGCCTATTAGAAATAAATCAATTTTACCATTAAACTTTGTATCTTTAAATACCTGCAAGCTGTAGTTCTGGAGTTCACAGGTACGAACGACGAAACTACAGCTTGCCGCAGACCAGCTACGGCCACCGGACCTCCAGATAAATAGCTAAGAGCAGGGTCTATTCCTATGAATAACATCATTCGGTGCAGTGTCGCTTATAATACTTTTCGTCAAATATCCTATTCATTATTTATTTTCTAAATCAAGTTTGAGCCATGTAATTAAGTGAATTGATTTCCCTGATGCCACTGATGATGACCTTTTAAGGTTAAAACGCGTATGGCAATAGTGTCTTCTTTATAGTGTTAATGGTTGTTTGTTTGCCTATTTATATTCTAATACACTACACAGTATGCAAAGTTTTCAAAAAAAAATAATAGCATTTTATCCTGAAAATATTTTGTCACTTTGAGGGCAACCCCTATTCCATTTCTGAATCCCTGCATTTATGATATCAGAATTTTAGAAGTTCCAATGTGGAATCTGCTATTTGGCATACTGTCTCCTTTTGCACATGAATTTAATTCATAAGAACTGTATCATCTGAATGACTTATGTGTAATTTATATTTTTATTGTAGGATGTTGATATATACTCGGTAGAAAATTATGTGGATGTTTTGAGTGAAGAACATTTCACTGGCCTTTAAACTCATAAGGTTTACAAACGATCAGCATTTTCCATAATGAAGGCTGAACCCAGGGTAAGCTTTTTTTTTCCAGCTATTTTTTGTGCTTTTTATTCATGTGTGTGTGTACATACATAGACACATGGGCTGTGATGGGAAGGGGCTCAGGTTGGCTTGTGTTTCTTTACTGAGGAATGAAGAACAGGCTCAATTTGAGGAATATTTGCTACCGTTCAGTTCGGAAACATTTATTATTCCCACCCAGTTTCTGAAACCATAAACATGAAAATAAATATATTTTGAATATGACATAGCTCTGGGCTGCTGTGCCATGTAAACTAAAAAAAGTGACTGATGTTTCATAGCTGCTTACTTCTGCCATCATCAGGGTGATATCTTGGTCAACTAAGCAACTATTAGCTTCTCAAGAAGTTTTCACGGAGTTTCTTGTGTTTTTTTTAGAGCAGTGAATAACAAATTCCCGTATTTTGTTGTTTCTCCTGTCTATATTTTGGTTATCATTTCTTTATGAACTTTTATTTTTTAATGGTTTTTCAAAGTACCCAAACATTTCCTTGTGATAAAATTTAGATACTTAATAAGCGTGATGGCGGTTTTACAGAATTGCATCGGTTTACAGGAAGTTGTATCGGATTCGTGTAGTGAAACTTGTCTAGTTTCTCCTCATGATGGAAGTCAGCTCATCAAAGCAAAAGTTGAAGATGTGACAGATATAAAAGAGGAAGAGGATCCTGTGCAAATAACATCTCCAACAATAAAGTCTGAATGTGAGGTGAGTATAGTGTAATGAATTTTCAGGAGTTTTTCTAACAACGTGCATGTCTTGGTAAAAAAACATGAGTTTGGAAGTTATGGAATGAGATTTTGGGGAGTACACTTGGCTTAAGTAATTTTTATGCTATTGTTTTCTTCCGAGACATAACACCCTTGAACCTAATAAATATCCATATATTATTAAACAGTCCAGTTGATGTGTGTCAAACTCCAGGCTAGACTAGAAAATTAGCTTTGTACAAACAGCCAGAATCTAAAGGAAGTAGCACATTTATAACATCTTTGCTATCACAATGAGTAAAAAAAATGTGTTCACCAACAAGTTCAGATGCAGGCCTACTACAGGGTAAGAACTACATGATCTGAGTGACTAACATTCAAGGTTTCAGCATAATATCAATTTTGAGACTAAGGTTTGGGTTCAAATGCTGGAGACTGTCTTCACATCCCGTACTGAATGAGCTGTTTTAAACCTGCTTTCGAGGAGGACACATGATTTTTGAATTATATAGCAGACCTTCCAATAAATTATGGTCCTGTAATGGGACTTGTTTTATGTAATACTGATAGACATTTTATGCCTTACTTTCAACTTATTTCTTTCCTTCCGTTTTGTTTATTTTAATATATTTTTGTTTAAACAGCTGTAAATCTGGGGTACTTTCTTAACAGGCTATGGACTTTGCCTTTATAGCAGTAAGATCTTTTCAATTTCTTGCTCCAGCAACACAAGGTTAGAGAGGTTTCTTGCAGCGCACAATATTGCCAAAATTTCTCATGTTTCAAAATTTTTAATATGAGAAATTATAGTGAGATAGAATTTAACCTGAAAAGATTTGATGTTAGTTTGTGGGCATTCCCTATTATATTTTTTATGCCTTGCATATAACATAATTTTGAAAACTGCAGCGTGGAATCCGCTGTTTTACATACACATCTTTAGAGTATGTGAACTGTATTATCTGAAATCATTATGTTTAATTGATAATTTTACTTCAGAATGTTGATATAATCAAAACAGAAGATGATGTGGATGTTCTTGGTGAAGATGATTCCACTGGCATGATACCTGATGAGTTTTACGTACCATCATCATTTTCCACACTAAAGACTGAACCCAAGGTAAACTTTGCTTTCAGCTGATTTTTGTGTTTCTTATTTGCGTATGCACTTACATGCATGTATGTGCTTGCATTCTTACAGTATAAGTCAATCTTAATATGACATACAGGTTTGAGAGTGTGCAATGCTTTCATTTGCATGCAGTAGGTATAAAGAAACATTTTTGCAGCTTAATAATTTTGATCTCTTATGCTCCTGCCGTCACCAAATCATCAGTACGGAATCACATTCATAGCCTAAATTGAATAGTGTGTATGTATCCATTATCTTGAACTTACTAGGTGATAAGAGGAAGACGGTAATATGAGTCAGATTAGAGTAGATATTTTGTATGAGCCATTGAATAAATTGGGCCTTGGTTGGGAGTTCTGGTGTTCTGTGTCCCACAGCTAAGCTCGGTATCAATATGGACACCCTGGGGGGAGCCCGGGGTGGCCAGGTTGTTTAAGGAGGGGTGGATCGGGCCAGAGAGGAAACTCACCCGTATGATGCTGTAATGGGATCGCGCATGAAGACTGGGAGCTGCTTTAGAGCAGACCGGAAGTCACCTGTGATCGGAGCTACCGGCACCTGTACTACGACAACCCCGGCCCTGGGATCTTTTTTTTTTGGGGGGGGGGAGGATGAGCCATGCCTCATGGCTCGAAGTGGCTTGTCTCCCCTCTCAAAGTTCTTTGGAGTCGGCGGCTTCGAGACCCTGATCAGACAGCAGGGCAGTTAGAACAGTGTGTGTGTGTATGTCGGGGAGTGAACGACTCGACGAGAAAGGCTGAAGGCAAGTCTGTTTTTGGGGGTTCAGTTTGACGTCTGAAGTCACATACCCAACCAGAGTTTGAGCCCTAAAAGGTGTCTTTGTTCTGTCTATTTCTATGTTTAAATATTTTTATTAAATATTACCTTTTGATTAATCGAAGTACTTTTTAATTTGTTGTTGTTTCTCTCTCTCTCCCCCTTTTGACTTCACCACTTTGCCATCCTCAAGCCGTACCACCTCCCGGCCTGGGATGATTTTGGCCTCAGTAACGTATTCCGGCAGTCCCCCAATCGGGGGTTTAGTACTTGCTTAATAAGCCGTGTATTTTGGCATTATAGCCATAGGTTACTTGTAAAGTCCTTGCTTCAGCAAACAATGTTAACTTATTTTCTTACGGTGTACAGTATAGCCACAGATTCTCATGTCTCAGTAGCTTTGTTGTGAAAAACATGTGAGATAGCATTTTATCCTGAAAATATTTTATCAGTTTGAGGGCAGCCCCTATTCCATTTCTGAATTCCTGCATTTATGACATCAGAATTTTAGAAGTTCCTGTGAGGAATCTGCTATTCTGCATACTGTCTCTTTTTTGCACATGACATCGATTCATAAGAACTGTATCATCTGAATGAATTATAAGTTATTTATATTTTTATTGCAGAATGTTAATATAATCTCAGTAGAAAATGATACGGATGTCTTGAGTGAAGAACATTCCACTGGCCTGCAAACTGATAAGGTTTACATACCATCAGCATTTTCCACAATAAAGGCTGAACACAGGGTAAGCTTTTCCTCCCCCCAGATATTTTTTTGTGATTGTAATTCATGTGTGTGTACATAAGTATGTACATACTTAGATGCATGGGCTGTGATGGGCAGGGGCTCAGTTTGGCTTGTGTTTCTTTTGTGAGGAATGAAGAACAGGCTCAATTTGAGGAATATTTGCTACCGTTCAGTTCGGAAACCTTTATTATTCCCACCCAGTTTCTGAAACCATAAACATGAAAATAAATATATTTTGAATATGACATTTCTTTGGGCTGCTGTGCCATGTAAACTAAAAAAAGTGACTGATGTTTCATAGTTGCTTACTTCCTCCATCATCAAGGTGATTTCTTAGTCAACTAAGCAAATATTAGCTTCTCAAGAAGTTTTCACAGAGTTTCTTGTGTTTTTATAAAGCAGTGAATAACAAATTACCGTATTTTGCTTGTATCTCCTGTGTTTATTTTGGTTATCATTTCTTTATGAACTTCTGTTCATTAATGGTTTTTCCAAGTACCCAAACATTTCCTTGTGATAAAATGTAGATAGTTAATATGCGTGATGGCGGTTTTACAGAATTGCATCGGTTTACAGGAAGTTGTATCGGTTTCGTGTAGTGAAACTTGTCTAGTTTCTCCTCATGATGGAAGTCAGCTCATCAAAGCAAAAGTTGAAGATGTGACAGATATAAAAGAGGAAGAGGATCCAGTGCAAATAACATTTCCAACAATAAAGGCTGAATGTGAGGTGAGTATAGTGTAATGAATTTTCAGGAGTTTTTCTAACGAGCATATCCTGGTCAAAAAACATGGGTTTAGAAGTTATGGAATGAGATTCTGGGGAGTACACTTGGCATAAGTGATTTTTATGCTATTGTTTTCTTCCGAGACATAACACCCTTGAACCTAATAAATATCCATATATTATTAAACAGTCCAGTTGATGTATTTCAAACTCCAGGCGAGACTAGAAAATTAGCTTTGTACAACCAGCCAGAATCTAAATTAAGTAGCACATTTATAACATCTTGCTATCACAATGAGTAAAAAAATATGTTCACCAAGTTCAGATGCAGGCCTACTACAGGGTAAGAACTAAATGAACTGACTGGCTAACATTCAAGGTTTCAGTATAATTTGAAATTTGAGACTCAGGTTTGGGTTCAAATGCTGCAGACTGTCTTCACATCCCATACTGAATGAGCTGTTTTAAACCAGCTTTCGAGGAGGGCACATGATTTTTGAATTGTATAGCAGACCTTCCAATAAATTATGGTCATGTAATGGGACTGGTTTTATGTAATACCGATTGACATTTTATGCCTTACTTTCAACTTATTTCTTTCCTTCC